CATTAATTATTAAATCCGACTGAGATGTTTGTGATAAACGACAAAGAGCGTTGGATAGCTGTTTCGTCCTGTTTGGGACTCTTCACCAGTGGACACAGTTTGTTTTCCTGTCGGGACTCGAATCGTGAATATTCGGGTCGAGACATCAAACCCTTACTCCTATTTTCCATACAGAATGATGTAATATAAAGTGTGACCTATTGGCCAGTTGATGAGCCACCGAAAATAAGCTTGTTCGTTAGACTGCGTTTTCATTCAGTGACTCAGTAATTAATCGTTCTCTAACTGACCTTAAACATTGTTTCAGAATAGTCGGTTTCTCGAAGTCTATGGAGTGTTCCTCAGAAATAGAATGCAGACCGATAGCTAAGTCTCTCTCTTCAGCTGACAACGTAACAATGCTGATACAGCATAAGTCTAATGCAGCGAACACTTGTGCACGATTAAATGAATCATCTGATTGCAAGCCAACATCACTATGATATTCGTTGAAATTAGATACTAAGAATGAAAGAGAAACTCGTTCATTTTACCTGTCCACAGTTCAGTCCAACAGCAATATCGGCTATCGTACTGTCCTCTGTCTCTCCAGATCGATGCGATACCATCACTTTCCAATTGGCTCGAAAAGCCATTTGACACGCACTCAGTGCTTCGGTGAATGAGCCGATCTGATTGACCTTGAGCAGGAGAGCATTACATGCACCCACATCGATCGCTTTTTGGACACGTGTAGGATTGGTGACCAGTAGATCATCCCCCACAATCTGCGAACATATAATTGGTGAGGAGTTTATAAAATAAATCATGCAAACAGATGGAAAGAGTGTGGTGAGATTCAGTTTACTTTTTCGGTAAATGATTAGCATTGGTAGGAGCAGTTCGTTTGGAATATTCCATTTAGTATACGAAAACAAAAACTATCGTTTGCCTACTGAGTAATTCTACTGAATACTAACTTTTGGGAAGTATCATCTTCAGTGCCAATACATCGTTCCCGACGAGGATCAAACAAAGGAGTACAGAGGTCGAGCGCGACAGTAATATTCATTTAATCAGCGAACAAACTGGTTCAATTTATTTATGCACAGCACAACACAAAATCTTTACAAATTTGTTTACATGTGAATTGGTCTCTTGAAATCAGAATCTAGTCGGTGACTTGAGGTCTTCAATTTCTGTTATAGACTTTATGCTCAGGAATTATTCATTTCAGAGATAAAATTGTAGACCGTGGGCTGCTCTAAGTCTACTATCAATGGGGCTTTACACTACTGTGCACTCTTATACTTCTTGGATAGATGGACCAACTAATAGATGATTAATTCGGGAATACATGCACAAAGAAGCTCTAAAAGAGCGATCGTGGGCGATCAGGTATGAGGTTAGTGTTAGGACGGAGCCTAAGAAACCCGTCCGATCGCGCACGCCTCCGAGTCAGGCC